ACAACATCAACAACATCAGCAGCAACAACATGGACAACAACATCAACAGGAACAACAACAACATCAACAACAACAACATCAACAGGAACAACAACAACATCAACAACAACAACAACGGCGTCAACAAGAACAACAAAAATCAACAAAATTACTATTACTACTTTCGCTACTACTGCTGCTACATAAAAGCTCTTTCCATGTTGACTGTTAGTACTTTTAGCAAACTTTACCAAACTGAAAATATCAGTTATAATAATAGTAACAACAACAACAATAATAATAATAATAACAATTAGAACAGCTAAAGCATCTTAGTTTATTATTTCAAAACGCTTTATATGAGTTAATGAGCAGTCAGAATAACATTTGCAAGGGTCGTCATCTGTACTAGTTTTGCGTGACTATGATATTTGGTGAATTATTAAAAACGAAAAAGAAATTTATAGAAAAAATGGGGTTTTTCCGTGATTTAGTTTCACTTTCAAAACTTTGGACTCGAAATACTCGAGTTTGATTGCATAGCCATCCCTCTTTTACAACCATTCAAAATGTCTTATTGATTTAATTATTCAATATAATAAAAATAATAATTATTATTATTATTGTTATTATTGTTGTGGTTGTTGTTATTACAACTCTTGTTGTCGTTGTTATTTTTTGTTATTGCAACTATCGCCGGCGAACGGTTCCCTCCAGAGCAGACATTTTTATAGCGCTTCATTGACGACAGTGAAAGACGATGACGATGATAATGATGACGACGATGATGATAATGATGACGATGATGACGACAACAACCAAGACGATGATTGTTATGACGGTTTGAAAACGTCTTCGGAAAGCATTTTAAGGTTTTTATATTCTTAAGTTCTCTTCTCTCTTTCTCCTCTCTCTCTCTCTCTCTCTCTCTCTCTCTCTCTCTCTCTCTCTCTCTTTCTCTATCTCTCTCATTACTTTTCTCATTCTTTTATTCTTTTGCTTTTGCTCTCTCTTTCTCTCTATCCAATCTAAAAATAGCTAAGCAGGAAGTTTTGGAAAATCCAACGACAGCACCGTGACACTTTTATTACGCAAGAGTTATTAATCTGAATGACCTTCATTATATTTGGTATCTTTTGTTTTTATGACTCCAAAATAATAATAATACTGTTGTTATTATTGTTGTTGCTGTCGTAATTATTATTATTGTTATTATTATTGTTATTATTATTATTATTTTGTTTCTTCCAATGAATTCAGCGACATCTATAATTGTAATCCTGCATACACTTCAACGCGCTTTCATTCAATTCTTATCGCCCCAGCATAATTCGCCCAATTTTATTTTAATTCTTTCTTTCATTCTTTCTTTCTTTCACTCAATCATTTGTTTGTTATTCATTCAGTCATTCATTGATTCATTCATTGATTCATTCATTGATTCATTCGTTCATTCATTCATTAATTTGGTCATTCATTCACTCATTCATTCGTTCGTTCGTACATTCACACACTCAAATTTTGTTATATCTCCCATGTAGCAAATTTTTTTACCTTCTTTTTTTCGCCAACTCGCCCTCAGCACCTTTATATGCGCCCATAAAATCGAGTCGCGAAAATCATTCGGCAATAAAATGACGAAATAAATCGGTATTTCACCGACGGTTCTTATTGTGCTTTAACGAGTTTTCTCGAATATTCGTCGAATAATTAATCGTCTGTTTGTATAGTTCTGTTCTTGCGAAGATAAGAATTAATTATCATTATGATCATCATCGTCGTCGTTTTCATCATCATCATCATTACCCACATCATCATCGTTGTCGTCATCCACATCATCATCATCAGCATGTATTCAGGTGTGCACATAATGATACAGGTGTCACAGACGAAAAAGCGTGTAATGATATCATTTCAATCCATCATTCATCCATTCTTTTTTTAAATTCATTCATCCATTTCTTCATTGATTTATTCGTTCATTTGTTCAGTGAGTCGTTAGTTCGTTCTTTCATTCACTCCTTTGTTAACTCACTCACTGAGGCACTTTGCTTCGCTGTTCTTCATTTTCTAATCCGATCATTCGTTCATTCATTTGTTTGTTTTTGCTGACACTTTTGTAAATCAGACAGATTATACACGCACACACGCACACACACACACACACACACACACATATACACACACTCATACACACACGCGCGCGCACATATACATACACTCATTCATACATACATGGCCACATACACACGTACATACATACATACATACATACATACATACATACATACATACATACATACATACATACATACATACATACATACATACATACATACATACATACATACATACATACATACATACATACATACATACATACATACATACATACATACATACAAAATTACATACACACATACAAACACAAAACGATACGATACGGTACACATGCAGCAAATACAAACAAACACTGATTATACAAAAGGTCGTGACGTGTAGCAATACATTGAATGAAATTTCACACACGTGCATGGATGTTTGTTTGTATGTATGTGTGTGTATGTTTGTATGTATGTGTGCGTGTATGTATGTGTGTGTGTATGTATGTATGTGTATGCGTGTAAATATGTTATTGCATGGTAAATCATAACTTGTAAAAGCTTAATTTTTTTCAACGCGAATAACAACAACAACAATAAAGAAAATATAATAATAATAATAATTAATAAATAAATAATAATAATAATAAGGTTCTTCTGCCAAGCCGTGCCAGCTTTGGCAAGAGGTTGACCTCATTCTACTGACACCAACAACAATCATGTCAAATCTAGGTCAAACTATTACCACAACCACTACCACTACTACCACTACTTCTACTACTACTACTGCTGCTGCTACTACTACTACTACTTTTAGTTCTACCACTATTGATAATGATAATAATAATTACTGTAATTAGTGCAATGTTATCTATAATATTTATAATTATAACGACGGTAATAATAATTATAGTTATAATTATTATTATAGTTACAACAATAATAATTATAGTTATAATAATTATTATTATTGTGGCTGTTAAAAATTCAGTTATAATTATTTTCCTATAGGACCGTGTCAACCTCCATTGTGCTTAAGAAAAGAGCAATGATAAATTATTCCCACACATTAAAAACATGTATCTTTGTTTGTTTCTTTGTACGTGTGTGTATGTGTGTGTGCGTGCGTGTGTATGTATGTGTGTGTGTGTGTCTGTGTCTATGTGTTTGCACGCAATATTGGTTTTGCATTACCTGTCATGACACTATTATTAATTGCACAGTTTGTTTATCGTATCATTATCATCATCGTCGTCATCATTACCATAACCACCACCACCATCGTCATCGTCGTCATCATCATCATGCCCGCAATCACCAAGTTAAGTAAACAGCGTATTAAAACTAAAGCATAAAAATTGCACCCTTGATGAATGCCTAAATGTTACATCTTACACACACACACGCACACACACACACACACGCACACACACACGCACACACACACATACACACATACACAAATTGACCGCGTAATCAAACATCAGCAGCGCAATCTTAACATCACAGCAATTGATTTAATAGCTTTTTAATTCACAGTTCAAATTTTTGTTGTCGGGTCAATTGAAATACTTGTAGTAGTAGTAGTAGCAGTAGTAGTAGTAGTAGTAGTAGTAGTAGTAGTAGAAGAAGAAGCTGCAGCAGTAGTGGCAGTAGTAGTAGTAGACTTTGTAGTTGAAAAATATTTAAAAATATAAATGAAAAGTAAAATGGATAGAAATGAAATGAATGTGATGAAGATTCCATTCCATTCCACTTGGAAGTTTAACTAATTTCAGTGCGGTGCATCAAGTGAACCGTCAAATGGAAGTTGAAAAAGTGAAATTGAGAGAAAGAAAGGAAGAAAGAGAAGAAGAGAACGAAACATAGAAAGAAAAAAGATTAAAATGTAGAAGGATTGAGTGAGAGGGAGAGAGAGAGAGAAAGTGAAAGAGAAAGAGAGAGAGAGAGAGGAAAGAGAGAAGAAGAGAAAGAAAACAAATTACACTTAGAAGAAAATTTCCATTAAAAAAATTTCTTTACGCCTATATCTTAGTAGTGTAGAGAGAGAGAGAGAGAGAGAGAGAGAGAACGGCCTGTTTAGGGTATTACAATGCAAGTAGTGATTATTTAAAAAGTATTTTTTTACACACGCATGCTTTCAACGGTCCTCGGTGCTTTGCACTCCACTCTATTCGATGCATGAAGTTCTGCTGCTATTATTATCATTATTATTATTATTATTTTTATTATTGCTACTACTACTACTATTACAGCTGCTACTACTTCTACTAATTCTGCTTTTAGAAAAGAGCTCTAGATAAATACATTTAATTTGTAATAATAATAATTATAATAAAAAAAATATTATTATATAAGTATAATATAAATATTTATTATTATTATTATTCCAGGCCACACATTACCAGCGAAACTTAACAACAACATTTCCAACTCAGCAACAACAAATTCTCCATCATCATCATCATCACCACCACCTCCTCCTACATCATCATCATCATCATCATCATTATCATCACCTTCCTCTACATCATCATCGGTTGCCCCAGTTTTCATTGTTGACCTAGATTCGGCCTATTACGTCATCAGGGGAAAACCAACGACTTTAAAATGTAGCGTTATAAATAGCGATAGGATAATATTTAAATGTAATGATAGATGGATCGATCCGAGTGAACATGTGAATGAAGAAAGATGGATTGACGGAGCGAAAGTACTAGAAACCAGTATTGAAGTAAGTTGTATTGTTGTGTGTGTGTGCGTGTGTGTGTGTGTGTGTGTGTGTGTATGTTAGCGGGGCGATGGCGTATTGGTTAAGGTGCTTGCCACCGCTTTTGTATTGACCGGTTTCGACTGCAAACAAATCCCAGCATTCTCATGTACTGCGTGTGTTTGTTGCCTATACCCCTGAGAAAGGATACTAAAAAGAAATTAAATTTAAAAAGAATTAATATATACAAACTATAACATAATTAATAATAAAGTGAAAAATAATTTTACACACACACTACAACAACCACACTACAACAACCACACTACAACGACCACACTACAACAACCACACTACAACAACCACACTACAACAGCCACACAACAACAACTACACAACAACAGATAACCAGAGAGCAAGTAGAAGAGCAAGCCAGCACATCCCACATCAACGTCATCAATGGCAACAACAATGGTGGCAGTGGGGGCCAATCATCCGGATTAGGTATTCCGTGCGAGTGCCACGCGTGGCATTACGTTCCCAACCGCCACCACCAGCCCATCACTACTACAAGAAGTAAAGTCGGAGTTGTGTATGCCGCGAGTAAGTTATTTATTACCTTTGATGACGTCATGAGAATGATGATGATTGTGTTGGGATGGTGGTGCTGGTGATGATTGTGTTGGGATGATGACAATGATGATTGTACTGTGTTGATGATGATAATTATGATATTAATTATAAGTTTATTCAAAACTATTTATGATCACGCGATGAAGATGGAAAGCAGAACAAACAAACAAACAAACAAACAAACAAACCAACAAACAAACACATCTTCATGTTTCACACGGGTTAACGACATTAACACACAACCATCACTTCTTAACTAAAACAATCTATACCGAAAACAAACTATTAAAAAATAAAAATAAAAGGTTTCCAAATGAAACCTTTCAAATCGACAGGGGGGCTTTTGAGCGCCTTTCACACGTCAATCGAATGTCGAACATCGTGCTAAGTTCATTGACGTAAGCCGTCAATTTAGCATTGTTCGATCATGCTGCTTGTTTGATACTAAAGAATGAATTGCGTGTTTAAAGAGCGCGACGTATTATTATTACTTTCATTCATTAATAATAATAATTGTAGTAGTAGTAGTAGCAGCAGCAGCAGTAGCAGCAGCAGCAGCAGTAGTAGTAGTAGTAGTAGTAGTAGTAGATAATTAATGGCCTTAATGACGATGACAATATTGATGAAACGAAGACAACAAAACAAAAAAACCGACATTATCAACTTTAACATATCCTACTGCTACTACTACTACTACTACTACTACTACTACTACTACTACTACTACTACTACTACTACTACTACTACTTGTACTACTATTACCACCACCACTACTTCGACCACTACGACTTCAGCAGCAGCAGCAGCAGCAGTGAGTACATGAAGACGATAACGTTGATAAATATATGTATGTATTGGCGTTGTTAATATGATGAATGGCAGTTCGTAATATTGCAGTCATCAATAAAAGAACCATGGACTCACGCTGTTACTGAGAAATCAATCACAACACACACACACACACACACACACACACACACACACACACACACAAACAAACACACAAACATATCAGTGGGACTGATTAGTTATGCAAAAATAGATAAATCAAATAGCAATATGTTCTTCTATATTTGGCTGATCGCTTGTTAGATATATGTACTTTTTTGAACCGTGTACACATACATATACACAAATACAAACAAACAAACATACATACATACACGCATACACAACACATATACAAACATATACACTTACACATATTCATGTAAACATATCGCACGCACGTAAATATTATGTGGAGTAACAACAACATCAACAGCAGCAGCAACAATAACAACAATAACAATAGCAATAATAGGATGAAGTCAATTCGAATTTATTTAGCGCTACATCATTCGATTATGCGGCCAAACAGACGTCTGTATTGTACATTGCAACTGCTGTATGCCTCTCTGTGCTTATTATCATTTTTGTTGTCGTTTTTGTTGTTGCTGTTGTTTTTGCCTGAATGGATGAATGAATGCATGCATGAATGAAAGGACGAATGAATGAATGAGGAAATGAACGAACGAACGAATGAATGAATGAATGAATGAGCGGACGAATGATGTTATCATCGTTGTTGATGTTGTGGTTCGAAATCATTATTCATTTCTCAATGTGATTAATGTGCCCATCTTGCCTCGCTGATGATGATGATTGTGATTACGATGATGATGATGATTGTGATGAAGATGATGATTGTGATGATGATGACGACGATGATGACGAAGACGATAAATAATTAAGATAAGGATGATGAAATGATACAAACATACATTTTACACGTTCAAATACACACAAATACATAAATACGCGCGCATACACACTCAATACACACAAATACAATAGAATTTCATCAAAAGTTCAAAGGTTAATCTTTCAAATTGACCTCTAAATGACCTTTCAAAAATGTTTAACACCGCTTTTAAACACAGTACTTAAACTTTGAAATTGCAACTACTATTACGATGGAGAGTATAGTGACTTGAAAGGCTTCTGCCATTTTGTAAAAGTCCCATAACAGTTCGAATATCTTAGCCATTATATTTAGTGAAATCTCTGAATTCGAGCAAGAGATTGATTGTATATAATCGGTGAAGAGTCGTTTGCTAATCGTCTCATTCATCCTTTTTTCGTTCGTTCATTCATTCATTCATTCAATTAGACATCCGCAAAAGATTTGAAGGGGAGCCATTTAGTACCTCAGGCGAAATCGGGTCATCGGCCGTCCTACATTGTCTGCCTCCCATTGGCCAACCGACTCCGAAGGTTTATCATTAGTTATCATTAGTTATTATTATTATTATTGTTATTATTATTATTATTATTGTTATTATTCTTGTTATTATTAGGTATACTGGATCAAAGATGGCGTCGATTTGGATATTGATTCCGATACGAACCTCATCCAAACCAGCGAGGGCAGTCTCATCATCAGTCAGGTAACAACAACAACACAACAACAACACAACAGCAACACAACAACAACACAACAACAACACAACAACAACACAACAACAACACAACAACACAACAACAACACAACAACACAACGACAACAACAACAACAGCAATAACAACAACAACACAACAACACAACGACAACAACAACAACAACAGCAATAACACAACAGCAACAACAACAACAGCAATAACACAACAGCAACAACAACAACAACAGCAGCAACAACAACAACATAACAACAACAACACAACAACAACAACAACAATAATGAACAGTTACGTATCCATGACAACGGGAACTACACGTGCGCAGCGTACAATATGGCGGGAAAGAGGTTGAGTGACGTTGCAACGCTAAGGGTCATAGGTCAGATGATGATGATGATGATGTTTTATTTCTTCACTTATTTATTTTTTCAATCATTCGTTCGTTCATTCGTTCGTTCATTCAGTCAGTCAGTCATTCATTCAATCGTACGTTTGTTTATTGGCTAATTCGTTTTTCGTTGTTTGATCATTCGTTTGTTCATTTTGTCATTCATTCATTCATTCATTCATTCATTCATTCATTCATTCATTCATTCATTCATTCATTCATTCATTCATTCATTCATTCATTCATTCATTCATTCATTCATTCAAACAGTGAATGGCGGTTGGACAGCCTGGTCATCCTGGTCCGAATGCTTGGAATGTTCTCAACATCGTCATCAGCACTACCAGAGAAGGTCATCATCATCATCATCATCATAACACTATTGATCATCATCATCATCACTACCATCATCATCATTACCATCATTACCATCATCGCCACCACCTACGACGTCATCACCACCATCATCATCACCATCACCGAAAGGTCAAGGACTTGCGCAAACCCCCAACCACAAAATGGCGGGAATTTTTGCAAGGGTGAAAAGCAGCAGAAGCAGCCCTGTCAAATCAGCTGTCCGGGTTGGTTTTGATGATGACGATGATTATTAATTTTATGACGTCATCGCCATCATCATCAGCGCTAACAATGAAGAAGAATAAGAAGAAGAAAATGATGATGAATTAACGTCATCATCATCATCATCAATACCGCCAATCTAATTTATATAGCGCCCAAGAAATAATAATAATGTCTGGGAATGAAACATTGGTAAAAAAATGAATGTTGTATTATGTCAAGATATTGAGTATTTATACCGCCCTGGACTTCATTCTATTGCCTAGAAACGACATGTCGAAAGTAGGACGACGATGAGGATGATGATGACGATGAAGAAGATGATGATAGTGGTGACGATGAAGATGATGATGATGATGATGAAGATGATGAAGAAGATGATAGTGATGACGATGTTGATATTACTAGTTAATAATGGTACTTGATATAAAAAAATATAAGACCATCGTCACCACCATCATCACCACCATCATCATCATCATCATCATCATCACCATCATCATCATCATCATCACCACCATCATCACCACCATCATCACCACCACCATCATCATCATCATCGCCACCACCGACGACAGACGGCTCGTGGTCCCAGTGGTCGGGTTGGTCGGCATGTTCGAACGAATGTAAACAACATCGGTCAAGGTCATGCAGTGGGGACGAGGACGACGACGATGATGCTGCTATAAATAGAAACAACAATGATGGTGATGATTACGATGGTGATGGTGATGATGATGGTGGTGGAGTCGTCGGGAGGGGATGCGTGGGAGAGAGAGTTGAAGTTGTCGACTGTCCGAGGCCATTGTGCAAAGGTCAGTAATCATGATAATGATAAAGATGAAGATGATGATGATGATAATGATGATGAAAAAAAAGAGATGAAGATGATGATGATGATGATGTACTAATTCCAACAGAGCGTTATTACTGATTGACGTACAACTACTGATAAACGTTATAAATCATTCAGATATTCTTTTCTCATACTTTCTCTCTCTCATTCTCTCTTTCTTTCTCTCTTTCTCTCTCTCTCTTTTCTCATTCTTCTCTCTCATTTTTCCTTTTATTTTTCTCTCTCTCTTAATCTATTTTCATTTCTTTGCTTTTCATACCATCATGTTTGCACGGATGAATGTATATTGGTATAAATTTTTGAATATTTGGTCGTTTGTATGCGCGAGTGTGTATGTATGTGTGTGTGTGTGTGTGTATGTATGTATGTTTGTATGCATGCATGTATGTATGTTTTCACATTTAATGATCCTAGACAGACGTTCAAGATGACTTAAATGATGTATTTTGATTTTTATTACCGCCAATAATTCACATAGACATTAAAATAAAAATGGAGGCATCAATATTTTATTTCTTTGCCGATATCGCAATTTCTCTCGTTACCATTTTTTCGCTCATCATCATCACCGTCATCATCACCATCATCATGGCCATCATTTCGCGCCAAATTGTACAAGGCGTGACGTCATAAAAAAAGTGATGGGCGCGTATGTTATGTTTTTCTGTCTAATAATCGCATTATCTTTTTTTTACTCCTTTTTTTCCTCTATTATTCTGTTTAAGCTAGCTATTTTTCTTCTCTCTCTCTCTCTCTCTCTCTCTCTTTCTCTCTCTCTCTATCTCTTACTTTTTCTTTCTTTCAGCAACAGCAGTAGTAGTAGTAGTTGTAGGTGGTAGTAGTAGTAGTAGTAGTAGTAGTAGTAGTAGCAGCAGCAGTAGTAGTAGTAGTTGTAACACTTATCGGTTGCATTTAACATCAATCATGGATGGACAACCGACTAATCAAGACGTGAATGCTGCTTCTATTCTTGCTACTACTACTACTACAACTACTACTACTACTACTACTACTACTACTACTATTACTTTGCTGCTGTTACTACTACTACTACTGCTACTGCTGCTGCTGTTGTTGGAGCCACTTCTACTACTTCTACAATAATTGTTTTTTTTCCAATAGTAAAACTGGCTACCACTTACTGAGAATAATAATTTCATAATAGTAATATTATTAGTGATGTCTTAATAATAACAATAACAACAATAACAACAATAATAACCACAACAACAACAATAATAACAATAATAATAATAATAATAGCAAATGAAAATCGGCAGGTTGTTGAGCAAATTAGAATCAGACGACGGCCTATCAACGAAGCTCTGAACGTTTAATTGCAACGTGTTAAAATATTTGCGAACAACAACAACAATTATTATTATTATTATTTATTATTATTATACGTTTTTTCTATTAGTAGTAGCAGAAGTAGTAGCAGTAGTAGTAGTAGCAATAGTAGTAGTGGTAGTAGTAGTAGTAGTAGTAGTAGTAGTAGTTCTTATGGTAATGATGATTATAGTAGTAGTGATGCTATCGACGGTGCTGGTAATGATATCGAGAAACTTTCAAAAGTTTGGCAAGCAAATGCACACATGCACAAATGCACACACGCATGTGTGCATGCATGTGTGCATGCACACATGCATGTGTGCATGCACACATGTATTCTTTGTTTTCTTTACATCTGATAGTTGTAGGCATGTATGCATGCATGCATGCATACCTGC